TAGTTCTCGTTTAAGAATCGAACGTTTTAGGATTTCGTAAGGTTCGGAAACATCACTAGTAAACATACTAGGTATTACGTACCTGTTGAATTCGCGCGGTAGTGACTTGACTACTGCGAGGAATTGAGCACGTGTGTCGTTCACGCCGTGCTCGGAGAAGTCGGCTTCTGCGTAGCAGAACCAGGCTCCGATATTGTCGGGCCAGAAAGGCATCAGTTGAAACGAAGGCAGGGACAAAGTCTTAAGCTTGAGTACTTTGGGTGTCTGTTCAGTCATGATGAAATATGAAGTACGATAATGAACGAGGGGAAAATATATATATCCAAGAAAAAACACGAAAAAAATCACAATGTTTAAAAAATAAAAAATAAGGCAATGATATATAAAAATCCCAAAAAGGAACAGACTCACAGTTGCAATTAGGTGTACTAGATCACGTCGAGCTCACCAATGAGGATGATACAGGTATTCAGTGTTTGACAACGCTTTTACCAGTAACACCTTCTAATATAATTTGTACCCACCGACAGAAATAAAAAAACAGAGTCGAGAAGATCGGAAGAGTGTATTTGGCGATAACTAATATATCGGAATTCTCTGATCTAATCTGGCTAGTGATTGCGATAGATGTTGAGCACAGCGTTACCACACGTGATCTGGTGCGGATGCATGACCGAGCGCCTTCAGCTAGATGAGTCCACTAAAACATATGGTCAGCATCCAATGTCGTAAACTTACAGAGCTATTTATTTTGGGAATTTATTTACCGCTAAAACGTCGTCCCAATCCAGTGTATACTGAAGGCTATGCAGATAATTCATTGAGTTTGGATGCAGTTCACGAAGATGGGCACAGGTTTGGTCAATGCTTGTCATGTGGCAGGTTTCACTCTTTTAATGCATGTAAATTTCGTAATTCTATGTGCTTTAAATGTGGTGATATTGGACATATTCAGTCAGTTTTTAATACTACTGTTCATCTTGCTGCAACTAATATTAAGTCTTGTAATTCTGATTCTATTAAGTTGAGTATTTATAATGATCGTATGTCTTTATCGACAATTTCAAAATACACTGTAGAATCATATGGCAGTTCTGATTTAAATGGAACACAATCTTTGCGAGACAACAGTTTCTAATCAATCAACTTATCAGATTTCTCATGTTATTGTACCAGATATGGTTTTTCCTAATGACTCACTTATTTCTTACAAAATTCCTTGCAAATCTGAGGAAAATATGTTGAGTGAACATAATTATGATCGAAAGCCTGATGCAGTCTTGATAGATGCTGATTTTTTAACGATCCTTTACTCTGCAATTACATTCCTAATAAATTTGAGGAGACTATTTCAGAAGAGTCAAATCTTGATGTTCTATCAATCATTAGTTGTCCTCAAAATGCATTTGTTGCTTGTGGGAAACTTGTTCACGGCGAGGCACGAGTACTAAATGAACTCGATTTTGATTGCAATTCGGATGATTTCATATCAACTGCTGTTTGACCTTATCACAAAATCAATTCTAATGTTTACTCTAGTCAATGTGTGAGAAGTGTTTCAAATGAAGCCACATCATTCATAACTTGTGGATATGAAGATTCACCATTATTTTGTGGGAGAGGGTAGTCTGAATGTACATGGTTCAAATTCTAGGTAGTAGTAGTAGTTTCAGTACTCAATCGACAATGTGATTGTAAACGATCCCAGGAAGCAGATAATACAGTCTTTATCCAACACACTTTCGGACAGATACAGAATGAACTTAAGTAGAAGACGTACAATTCAGTACAGACACCTAGAATCCAATTTAAGCTGTGGATAATGTGGTGATTGAATGAACTAATGATTCCATTGTACTTGTTGAATGCCTGATTTCGAATTCTAAATACAGTACATTTGTCAGTGTTTATCTAGTACTTCATGAACCAATTGCGTTCATTCTGGAATTATTAGTCTCTACCATAATTCAGTTACTTCTAATTATCACAATGTTCCAAATGAATCATACTCTAATCAGACTCATGACATTGCATTACCCGACATGCATTGTTCTCATGACTCATGTATTTTCAGTGAGATTATTTACAAATATATGGAAGATATATCGAGTGCAACAAATCCTGATCAGAACTCTGATGTTATTTGTTCTAGCGATTCATTTATTTCTACTGAAATCTCAATTAAATGTCAGAATGAAGTTCTAAATGGGTCAAAATTCGATTATAGTCCTTATGGTGCCGCATCAGATGTTATTTGTCCTCATAATGGATTTATCTTCAGTGATATCCTTAATGAATATGACAAATATGTTCCCAATGAGTAGAACTGTAGTCACGTTTCTGATGTTATAGTATCAGATGTTAGATATTCTCACAACTAGTGTGTGTCGAGTAGAATCCCTAGTCAGTGGTATGATGATTCAGAGGGAATAGCACATTTTCCCGGAGCAGTCAGAGAACCAGTTTGGCCAGATATGAAGTATGCACAGGCAGGGAATTCAGATCGAGTCCAAGGTTATCTTAATGATCATGAGACAAATGCATATTTTCCATTTGATTGTTTTGCAGGTGAATCAAGCCTACATGAATCAGATGTGTTAATTTCACGAATCAATGCATATTTATCTGATAACTGGAACAACGGCCTTACATATTCTAATGTGAGAAGTAAAAGGAATATGTATCATAGTTTTGTGTAAGTCAGAGTCACATGATGGAACGCCTCAAATTATATGTCACTGTGTTTCTTCAAATACTCCCATACTATAATCGAAGTGTGAGATATAAGGAGATGATGAGAATTGTGAATGTCAAATTGGTCATGATCTTGCGACATAAGGACCTTACATTATTTCGTGGGGAGGATAGGGTTGGAAAATCTATGATTGGAATTCTAGATATCAGTGGTTTCAGTACACAGCCGACATGTTGATCATATACATTTCCAGGACCCAGTTGAGTGTGTTGAGAATTAAGTTGTTAATTCTAATACTGATGAGTATGTCCGACACTTAGTCTGACATACATACAATGAACCTAGGAAGGAGACGTAAAATCGATAACAGAAACTTAGATTCCAATTTAAGCTGTGACATTTGTGGTGTTTTTATGAACTAATGAAGCCTTTGTACTAGAAATGCGCCTGATATTGAATTCTGAATACAATACGTTCGCATGTGTTCATGTAGTTCCATTCGGTCTAAATTACGCTATTTTGGGGATTCCTAGTTCGTATAACAATTCAAATACTTCTAATTATCGCAATAAAATGAAATGTTATGACAATCAATACCGACATTATTGTTAGTTTCGCTTTTGTCAGTGATGAAGTATTTAGGTTTACGATGAAGAACTTTGGAGGACCTTCATATGCCGTTCCAAGAATTGCCACAATGAGTCGCAACGTAGAAAAACGTGCATACTATATCATGGGACAAGTCGGACGAAAGCATCAATTCACGGTGGTCAAGTGGAAACAGGTCGAACTGAATACACGGCGTTCGAAAGCCTGCTCGTGTAAGAGTTTCGACCCATAAACAATGAAGAAGATGAAGAATCCATGAATCTCTTGTGGCCGTTTATCTGACTCCAGTTAGATCGTACTCTGATTGTAATCTAAATATACATATCAGCTGGCCTCGTATATAGTCACCGACTCAAATCGCGTTAGTGAATAACGGAATACAATAAGTCAATTTCGAATACGTATATTCCATACAATTGTCGATCTGGACAGACAGTCAGAGAAACGAACCAAAAGAAGCGGAGAGTAAAGAGGGAAGGAAAACTAAATGACGCGTGGTGAAGGCGATTGTACCAACTCGTTCTAATCAAAAAATGGTCAAGATATGACCTGAACAACATGAATAAATTAGTCTGTCCAGAATCTAGAATAGCTTGTGTGGGCCTGACGTAGTACCAGACACTACAAATTCTCCTGGAGATCAGAGTATCGTTCCGTAGATGAGTTGAGCTGTAGTGTATCCAATGTCAGCATTCATTACATTGCGAATGCAGAGTGAAAAGAATAATAGGGCGTCACTCCACTATGAGGTGTTTGCAGGTAAGAGTGAAGCCTTCGACCGACAGTGAAATCATTCTACCAAACCGTTAGCTTGTGGATGGTAGTTGGTCATTGGAAATGATGTGGTTCCTAGTAGTGCAGTAAGACGATGGAAAAGTGCAGATTTCGAAATGATGTCCACGGCCCGTAGTAATTGTTGAAGGACAGCCGAAGTTTGTTGCCCATCGTCCGGCGAAGGCATGGATCACTTTTTCATCATCATGAACGCCTATTTCGTCATGATGATTAGCGGGAAAATAAATATTCTAAGATATAAGAATAATATCAAAGTATGTAAAAATAAAGTTTAAGAGATATGTATAATGTTCCCTCAAAGAACGTACTCATATTCGTTATTTAGTGGGCCAGATCGTGTTGGTTTCACTATAAAATATGTCAAAGAGAATTTGTGTTTTTGGTGGAGTTTTGTTCTCTGAGCTGGATGGTTTGGTCGTGTTTGCTAACTGTTGTTGAATTGAGGTGAACAGTGCTGTTACGTCGAAGGACCAAACCATCCAGCTCAGAGAACAAAACTCCACCAAAATCATCCATCTGAGCTACAAATCTTCTCCACCATCTCAGAATTTGTGTTTGGCAACATGTTTACCCGCAACACCTTTATAACAGAACACTAACACAGTCAAGTCAAAAGTCATGAATAAAGGGGCTGAGAACTATAGTAAGAAGCGAATAACACAGACTTGATCCCCTCGGGTTTCTGAATAAAATCCTAATTAATATCTTGAATTACTTAAACTGTCGTTAAGAAAATACGATCTTCCATCTTTCTATTGATTAACCGATAAGATACTGTGACTGAACGGATAGTAGAGGTATATCCAGGTCACCATAAATTGGTTGCAGTCATTCAGGACTAGATTCTCAAGTATTTGTTTAAAAGGCGCGATAACTCATTCGAATTGATAGTCCGTTCCTTATGGAGTCGTCGGTAATTGTCGCTGTTAGGATAAGGCCTTTAACAAAACTGTAAGTTATCTGACCTAAGGTTATGTATTCAGGGAGGCCTTAAACAACCTACAGTGCCTTATTCAGATCCCTAAACCAGGTGTTGTCCATGTGTTCGAACCGAATGTTAAGAATAACAATGTTCGTGAGTTTCAATTCGACCACACATTTTGGTCACTTAACGATGGATCAAGTCTTGTGCCACATGCAAGTCAGGAATTTGTGTACCAAACACTTGGGCTTCCACTATTATTAAGAGCTTTGGATGGTTACAATGCATGCCTTTTCGCATACGGTATGACCTCTTCTGGGAAAACATATAGGTAAACATCTTTGATTTTCATTATATAAATATTCATGAGAAATGGTTTTATCCTAAGGATTTCAGATGCGACCAAAGGATGAGGTTTCAATCAATAGGTTGTTTGTTCACTCTTCCCCTACTTTAGTTTAGGCAGCTGCCTAAACTTACTAGTAAAAAAGTATCTTTAGCACTCACGAAGTTGCCCAAATCCAAGTGCATAAAACCTCAATTAGTAAATGAGTTTTTCAGCCATTAGTATGCTTTTTGACGCACATTGGAGGTTATTTGCTCAGTTTGTCAAGTCATTTTTTAAAGATCCTATTACTTCCTCAAGTTTGAGATATATCTAACGGATTTATGGCAACTGTAGAACAATTTGTGTTCTACTTGAAAGGAAAGCAAAAGGTGACAGGAAAAAGACTTGAACATGTGGTCACGCAGTTATTTCTGTGGGTGTAGTGCTTTTTGTATCGTCAAACTATATTCTTGTTTGTCTATTGTCTATCCAGTTTTATTGTTTCAAATCTATTAAAATTACTGGAAGTTCCATTTTTGCAGTGTTCTAGTAGTTTAGAAATAGGAAGTTTTGGTCGTTCTGGTCAGTAGTTAAAGGTTTTGGCTTTCACCTACTCAGTTCTATTTCCAAACTGTTTGACTTACTTAAGTGTCTCTGAGTAAAGTTAATAATCCTCATACAAAAACTTGTTACTGAAGTCTAAGTACGTAAACTGTGTTTTGACAAACAAGTTACACTATTCCCCCTACTCTAAGTTCTTGAGGGGTTCACTATTATCTACTTAACGGTTAGAAGGATATATGGACGACCTTTGAGCGGTGCTACATTGTCAGTCAGTCAGTCAGCAACAACGTAGAACTTCGTACTTATGTACATCAGTTCAAGTTGCCATACCACATTAGCACAGAGATACAACTTTCGGCTCAAGTCCCATAGTGGTGTGAGGAATCAGGATTTGGACTTACGGCTGTACGTTAGGGTAAGGGTTTTTATCACGCCCTGGTACGGTCGACAGTGGGAAGTCAGCTCACCCTCTCGAAATGCTCTCATATAGCCACGCATATACAGCCACTGCCAGGAAAGTCCTACTCACTGACGTCTCGCGGCGTGGGTGTTGTTTTCGAAATTGAGAGGACGAAAAGCGAATGTCCGAGGTGGTATATGGAGGATCCATCTGGGAGAGTTGTAAAACCCTGATTTCAAACCAATGGTGCACATGGGCTCCGGGATCCTGCAGGAACAAATGGCGTATGGACCAATCGTTGGTCATCGGTTACCGTGGGACTGTATCCCTGACGTTGCTCCACTGCCTTGTAGATCAGACCTTTAGATCGAAGGCTCCGGATGTGTTCCTTTAAGAAAACCACCTACTTTAGTCTGGGCACCCGGACAGTATCACAGTCCACACACAAATTAAGTGACTTGTGTTGCGTATATGTATTCGGTGCCCCTTTGTACCAGTATTTATGTGTTCAAATAAATAAACGAACTGACATAAGCTGTGATGCCAAAATGCTAACTAAGCAGTTTGGTGAATGATCTCCGCGCCAAGATCCAAGACTGTCATCTTAAATCTGACTAGTTCGTCCACGAATACTGTTATTTCCCTGTGTTTCTTATTAATATTCTTTCTATCTTTTGAATATAGTATAACTGGACCTCCTGATGATCCGGGAATAATCCGGAGGATTTCAAAAGACATGTTCGAGGAAATTGGGAGAAGAACGGTATTCTTGGTAGTTGATGCTGTTTGATGTTAATTTAGGAATCCACTACAAGTTTTTCTGTTAAAATGAGTTATTATGAGATATATAATGAACGAATACGTGACCTCCTCTCGTCGAACTCTACTAGAAACGGGGTAAGATAAAAATGACCTCAATTTGCTTTGATATTAACCCCCACTATGTGTGAACAGTAATTTTAGTAGGACTATTGATTTTCTGTTTCTACACCGTCGGGGGGGGGCGAAAACCTGAATCAGAACACTACTGGCTGATATTTTTTTTTGCATCCGGAGTATGCTTTAGGAAATCTGTCAGTAGATCATGTTCAGTGTGAAACCTGACACATGTGTATCGGTTCACGTTACCATGTTACATCACAGAAAAATAAAACTCGGTAGAAATTCATGGGTAGTAGAAGTTAAAAAAAATCAACAGTAGTAGGAATGGGAAACAACACGTTTCAGCTCAAGTCCTCAGGCAGTCAGTCAGCTACAAACGTGGGACCAGGCACATATATACATCGGTCCAAGTTGCCATACCGCATTAGCACAGTAAGATGAACACCGGATTCATAGAAGCAGTTAATTCAATGGTGGTAATATATAGAAGAAAGATTGCATGTAAGAATATAGTACAGGAAGAAAGATTTAGTATGTAGAAAGAAAGATGTAAAGCGAGTTTAATCTCTTAGTTCAAGGGAGGACAGAGAGCGTATACACTTACGCCATTGTGACCCATTCTGAGCCATCTCACCAAGAGTCTCCAACCATTGGTTGCAATAGTCACGTGGACCCCAACCAAGTAGTTTGCATCTACCGACATGGCTCAGACTAGAAGTTAGTGACCTCAAGGACTGATGTCACGTTTTGGTTTGATCGCCCCTAACTTTCTTCAACCATCCCCAACACTAGTCAGCATTGCGCGTTGTGATAATCGGTGTTCAGGCATACATCACGCGTGGTCTAACCATCTCAGTCGATGGAGATTTACAACCTCATCCACTGGTGTACCATCATCCCCTAATACCCTGCGTTTAACATCACTATTACTTACCCGGTGATCCCAGTAGATGCCAGCAATATTTCTAAGGCATCTGTGGTCAAATACTAGTAGCTTACGAGTATCTTCGACACTTAATGGCCATGTTTCGCAGCCGTAAAATAGAACAGAACGAACTGCCGCACAATATACCCGTCCCTTAATTGATAGACGGATATCTGACCTTTGCCATAGGTTGCGTAAGTTGGCGAAAGTCGAACGAGCTTTTCGAATCCGTGCTGAGATTTCGTCAGACACCAACCCATTAGGGCTGATCATCAGTTACTATGGTACACTGGTTAGAAAGCAAGTCTATGAATTCATTGATTACTGGTTTAAGCTGCGTAGGATAATACAATTCTTAGCATAAATTCGCACAATAACTGCGATCTGTGCTCGAAGATATTTCGTGACAGCTCATAATCGGTCACCGACACGGATGCATTCAGCCATTTTTCTATATATCTTTAGTCCTAGTATTCCTTCTTATATACCTTTCCACTCTGTATTTCGGAATCATATTCTTAATATTCAGTCTTTTAACATCACTAGTACTGCATAATTTCAGTCCCTTTGCCATTCATCTTAAATTCGTCTCATCGTGTTAATGGGGTGTGGAAACGAGTTAAAATAAATTTGTGCCGGGCTCTACGGTCATTATGATTAGCTGTTTGTAGACATTGACATGGCTTAGAATGTCATAATGGTTCAAATGAGTTCGATTTTTATCTTTGTACTAATCTTGAGATTTGATAATGTTCCAGACTTTTTATCCATTGAGCTCATATCACGCTATACTTTTCCATGATTAATCTTTCTTACCTTCATTTACAGTACTATTGTTTAGATTCTTGCTATTCACTTTGCTAATTTAATCTAGTGCTGGTAGAATATGAGTACATAAATGTATACCAGGCTTTATGTTGGCTACGGTTAACTTTAATTAGTTAAAAAGTCTGGATTTTTTAATCAACATAATTTTACTGCCTAGAACGTGATTGGATACCATTTGGAATTCGGTATGTAAGTCTCGATATTCTGGGGAGATTACGTGTCGAAGTATCATCGTAAATAACGTCTTTCGCAATTTGTTCGTAGTCGTTATCTTTTAAAACCGGCTACTCTTTCCTAGCTTATTAACGTAACTGCTTTTTGATTTAAAAGAAGTTTTGGTACCCTACTACCTATAAAAGAATCCTTTTCTAGTTAAAAAGTGTTAATTTATTGTTATTATCCATGTTTATTATCGTTTAAATTCCAGCTTGTAGTTCGTGAACACCCTGTAACTGGTCCATACATCGATGGTTTGTTATGTGAAGAGGTTTGGTCTGAATCGGATATCATAAAACGACTTGATTTTGGGAATCGTTTACGTGCTGTGGCTGCCACTCCTCTGAACGAAAACAGCAGTCGCTCACACACCGTACTCGTATTATCACTGACGAAGCGTTCAACTGTAAGTTTCATAAACGTTTCTACTATTGTATCGCATAGATGTTAAAAATATGTAAATTACTTTGCAGCGACTTAATAATAATAATAATTCATTCGCTCAGAGTACATCCGAAGGATTTCAAACAACTGCATTTTCATATTGTTATTAGTTGTAATAACCTTGAATCCGTTCATTAATGTCGACAGTAATATACTATTATTTAGCATATGTATGTATGATGAGCATTAGTTAGATCACAACTTTTTTTACACGATTAATGCCTTCGAAAGATTCCATATTAGCTATTCATTGGATATTGGTGGGTAGTTGTAGAGTAACTGCAGGTCAGTTGGACTGCTAATTAAAGTGTTCCGCCCATCGTTTTAAACGTTTAGGCTGAGAGCAGATAAGAGTGTCGTCTGTTTTCGAGGTAGTCTCACTCACACTTGACCTATTGATTCCAGTTTCTTTTGTTAATTTGAAGAGCTGTCTTGTATTACCTAAAACCGCTGCCTTTTCCATCTCTTTTGCTTTCGTTGCCCACCACTACTCACGGTCGTTCCTTAGACTTTTGGTTAACTTAGGTCTGATTTGTTTTCGCTCTTCATCGTGTTCAGAGCCTGATGTGATGAGTTTACGAGAATCTATCAGTGCAATAGACTTAGTTGAAATTCATTGGAAGGAGGAGGAAGAGGAAGTTTAGAGTCAAAAGTCGATGTTGGAGGAATAATACAAATTGAAGAGAGAGATTGATTTTGAATACCGTGATATTGAGTGCTGTTAAAAGTATGGTGACGGTCATCACTTCCCAGTTTCCCACACTGTGTAAAGGGTTCTTCTAGAGTTATCTGGAAAGGAAATTGGGTTAAAAATGGTCTTTGTGACCTCAGAACGTTTTTCATAACCCTTTGGTTGAAATCACTAGTAGATGTCACTGCTGTTTCCACAGCTGTTCATATATCGTTCCAAGCAACATCTGGGTCAGCCTCGTTTTCAGAACTACCTAAGTGTGACATCAGTTGTTCCTGGAATCTACTTTTTGCTTCCTCGTCATTGAGTTCGACTCTAATGGGTCTTAATGTGGTTTTGGTGCGTCCAGTGAGACGCAAGCATATGCGTGCATGAGCATGGTCGTAGTCCAGACAGGTATTCCAGAACGAGCGACAGTCTTTTATTGAACCTCTCCGACGATGACTGATGGCAATATGGTATATTTGACTTCATTGTTCATTTGGTGCAGGCGGTCACCATGTTAGACGATGTCTCTCCTTATGCTTAAAATTAGTGCGTGCTAAAAATAAACGATTGTCTGAGCACAGTTGAAACAGACAATCATTATCTGTGCGCTAAGCCAGAATACAAACTTAGATCCATTTTACTGTAGTTATTAACTAATTTAGTGTTTGTGAATATGACAACGAAGCTATGTTTTGATTACGTACGCTTTATCTGATTTGAACTTTTCCAGACTAAATATCTTTTAGGAGATATTGACAACGTGTATAACAGTCACATAACTATTGTTGATCTCGCTGGAAGTGAACGTCAAACATCTACATCTACTTTGAGTGGACGTTTTATTGTAAGTTTATATTATATTTGAGTACTATTTTGCAAGATAGTTCATATACTAGGATTTATGTTAGTTGTATTCAATGATTCTATGTACTTATTAATAGCAGTGGTAATAAATAAATTACACGATTAGATTCTAGTGTTTTTTAATTTTTAATTTATTTATTAAGAATGTAGGTGATGTATTGCATTTTAAAGTAAATATTTTCAAACCCTTCCAGTGTTTTGGCGGTTGGTATATTATCTGGAAAGATTTATTTTTGCAGGATTTTTGAGTGTTTAGTAATTTGACACTTACTATTAAGTATAAGAAAGTACATTTAACTGTTAAACAGCATCGTGGTAATGAACGTTTTTTCAGTGAGTCAAATTTATTACTTTTAAAAAGTAGATCTAATGTTCTGCAACACAATAAATAACAATGTAACTACTCACCCATCTTCTAGTAGGCTTTATCCAAAACGGTGTTTTCTTGTTAAGTAGTTAGCTTGAGCTTTTTATGATTTATCCGTTCCAATGTTATCTACTTTTAACTGTGACATTTTTGGAATACTAATATTTTAGTTCTTCTTCATAATGTATTTCTGACTACAAGTTTGAGTCACATTTTCTGAGTATCACTAAAAGTATCGCTCATTGAAAAATGTTGCTTAATGAACTAATCTCACCTACCCTGGTGTGTTAGTGTCAAACAAAATCTCCACACGAATTCAGAAAGCCTTGTTGGCTTTTGCCAACTTGCGTCACTCGTGGTATAGGCAAGAACAGATTTACTGTATAGCAGTTCACTTCATTCTACTTTATGGTTTGTAAACGTGGTCCCTAAAAGTAGGATTGGTTACTGTTACTTGACTGTGGGTGCCTTCAAAGCATTTCCTGTGTACTTTGGAACCGTCGGGTTAGCAACTCGGAGGTTATACTTAAATTTTTAGCTATGGATGGAAAATCGATTGGTGAGGTAGTGAATGTTCATTGGCTGAGGTGTCGGGGATATATGCTTTACGTATATCTATCAACCGCATACTTCGATGGCTGATGTCTGATGTAGAAGTATGTTGAAGGAGAACTAGGCTTGATCAACCCAAAACGTAGCATCAATTCTTGAATGCTGTAACTGTTGGATTGAGCAATGTAGGTTGGTGCAAATTAACTGTTTAGGGTCAGCGTAATTATCGTAGCTAATGGTAAGAGGCTTTGAATGACATGGTTCAAGATCATTCCCAGTGATATAGGTCCATTTACTCTTATTCTTCCCTTAGATTATAAGTTTCCAAATCTCTTATAGTTTTCCTTTAATTCATTAAGATCCTCTTGAATCGTATCTTCAGTGCCTAATCTTTCCTATTACCAACAAAACTGTCACTACTTTTACCACTGTGGGATTTCCCTTGGAAATTTCATCTCATTGATAATAGGGTGTGGCAACTTGCCCGATATACACACATATCACGTTCTACTTTGCGTTTGACTAACCGACGTGCATGAAATAACTAAGTGATTGAACTAAACTTTTGGTTTCTGTTGAATGATTTAGTTAAAATACATTATTCATATCCTTGAAATGTGGTCAGTAAGGACGGGGAAGACTATAAAGTTTACATTTTTTAGAACCTATATTGAGTTATAGGCTTTCGGATAAATAGCCTACGTACTACCCAACAGCACAAATATTAGGATAAATTGTCCCATTTCATATTTATTTTAACTGAATAATTATGTATGATAACTGCACAATGTTCTGATTTAGAATGCTTACAACGTGTCGGATGGCTAAATAGTGCGACGTTCACATACAACCACCACAGTAGTTTGAATAATTTCTTATCTGTCCTCTAAAACAACGAGTGTGGATTACATTTCGATTCCTACATAATAGAGGCATAACTGATTAGAGACGTTTTAAGATGTAGATATATAGCAACTACTCAATATTCCGAGAATTATTTTCTGTAACCAAACTTATGGTGTTGCATAAAGCGATTTTTATTGTTGTTGTTATTTCTGATGTGAGTTGGCTGACGATTTAAAGTACCGACTTTCCGTTTCAAAAAACTAACATTGCATATGAGTCAAATATAATATTTTAAGCCCGGTTTGCCTGTTTTTGTTTGGCATTGTTTACGGAGAAGTGTAAGAACTTTTAAATGGGTAACAAATTCGTGATTTTCACTCGGCTCCATTTTAAATTTTGCTATGAATAAGAAAGGTAAAATAATTCATACTCATTTATACTAGTTGTCTATCTAGATTTACTTCATACCTTAGTCACTATGAAATTATGACAAGATTTGAATGGACAGCCAGTTTAACAAAGTATCAGCTTGACGAAACTCGGTAAAGTTAAGGACTGGCCGGTTCTTGTTTCTCATTGATCAATTCTTTAGGCTCCGGATCGGTTACAATAAGCCCTTTTGTTCAAAGGCTGGATGAGTCTCTTGTTTTCGAAGTCTTACTCAGTTACCCGGGATTTACTATCATTTCTCAAGGGATTTGTAACAGGTCTTATAGTTTAGGAATTATTAGTCCGAATGAAATAGTCATTTAAATCATAGTGTTTGCTGGTGTGACGGGTGAATTTATGTGATAATAGGATTATCAGAAAGCCGTCTGATATGTGACCGCAAAGGGTTACTATTTAGAAAAAGTACAACTCTATGTACACTTAAAATTACAGAAGTATGGATGTGTGATTTGTACTGTAGAATGGGGTTTCCAATAATTCAGACTAATAACAGTATGAATAAAAGTTTGAAGCAAATAAACATTCTTCTCATTACTAAAAAGCCTAAAATATTGGCTGATAATCTAAATGTTTCCCGTAACTATTAAATTTGTCAGTGTTTACTGCCATTTCTTTTAATATCATATTATTTTGATTTTAAAAATGACGTTTTTGAAAAGGTTATGTTATCAGTGACCTATATAATTATTTTCTTCATTGAGCTCTTGCAATTTTATAAATCCACTTTTATTCACCATGTGTTTTAGGAAAGCTGTCAAATCAACAAGTCGTTGTTTACTCTCGGGAAGGTAATCACTCAACTTTCCCAGAATATTGCTTACAAGAAAAAGGCATTTCCATCCCCTGAACCACATTCAGTTGTTCAGGATACTTGTCCATTGCTTTCAGTAACACCGTGCCGATTGGTCAATAAACGACGGGATTTTGTTTCTTATCGCGATTCTTTACTAACCTGGTTTGTTGATATTTATGATTACTTTTTGTTAAATATTTTTATTCATCCAGTTGTAGTCACTTAACCAGTATCTAATTATTGATTGATTATTGAACATGCGGTTACAAGATTTTGAAATAACTCATTCACTGTATGCTAATGTCTCATTATTATTCCATTTACTTTTAGTGAAGTATTTCACTAGGTTAAGATAGCTAGTTGAAGTTGGTCTTTTCATAAGTTAATTGCACTGTTTCTTTTCTCTGACTAAGGATTTTCTTACTCATTTACTAACTGGGGCTGATAGAGTTAAAACATTGTAGTTGGTCAGTTACTTGCAACGCGTGAAAAAAACCAAACAAATTAAATTAAGTATCAGAAGTTAATGATTAAGAATTAATTTAAAATAAGATCAGAATTTTAAAGCATTGGGATTTTCTGTGGTTATTGGTACTCACAAGATTGCTTATAATTAGTATATAGCGCGTCTCATGGAGGTTGCTACAGTCGACAGCCAAAAAAATAGTTCCAGAAGTTCAAAAACATGGCATATGCAGAACACCGAGGACCAGAAGAAAAGCGAAAGAAGAAATTCTAGAACCAATTTGAACTACAGAACGTGCAAATGTATGACTGAAAACTAGGTGTACATATTGCACGAACATTCTTTCTGCCAGTGGCTTCTCCCTACACATCGTTTGTGAAAACAATATATTTGTAAAGTCCCAATGAGTAAAAGCTAGATTCCTGACGTTTCGTGACTTAGCGTAAGCCACTTCTTCACAGGATAAAAATAAACAAATTGAATAAACATAAGTTCAAGAGACACAAGGAAGCATATTTTTAGTACAATCGAAATTAAGATAGGTCTAGTCATGTTAGTGTTATTATGTTCTTTCGAACAAGGTTATTTCATATTGTGTGATACCTAGTTGTATGTAGTTCTGTGTCAGCGGGTGTGAAAGATGATACTTGTATTCCGTTTTAGGTAATTTTGGTATTATTAATATAGAAAATTTTAATTCTGTGTGATCTAAGTATTCGTTGTAGTTCTTATGTTGTTCCAGTGCTGTGCATCAGTGCTTGAAGTCACTAACTTCTAGCCTGTGCCATGCCGGTTGATGCAGATTATTTGGTTCAGTCTGCGCTACTATCGAAAGCAATGTTTGGAGACTCTTAGTGACATGGCTCAGAATCGATCACAATGGCGTTGGCGTATACACTTTATGTCTTCCTTTAAACTGTGGGATTAAAATTATTTTATACCTTTCTTTCTATAAACTAATTCTTTCTTCCTGTACTATATTCTTATACACAATCTTTCGTTCAAACATTACTACCATTGAAGTGACTACTTTTATGAATTTGGTGTACATCTTGTTGTGCTAATGAGGTGTGGCAACTCGGAACAACGCATATATGTGCCTGGTCCTACGTTGTAGCTGGCTGGCTGGCTTATGTTGTTCCATGACGGTACGATAAAACTACAGTGCTAACCCATGATAGTCCATTCAATTTTATTATTATTGTGCTTGTAGGTATCATTACCTAGGTTTGACTTGATACTTTCGAATAAATTGAACATTGGGCAGATTGTTTCAAATAAATTAATATATTGGTAATATCCCAATAAGCAGAAAAACTAGATTTTTCGACGTTTTGTGACTCAGTGTAAGTCACTTCTTCAGAGAATAAATAAATAACCAAATCAAAATTAATCAAAGTTTAAATAATACGAAGGAACAACGCAAAAGCATTATGTGGCACAGTCTAAAAATGGTATTTCACTGAGTTCATTTTCGGAAGTGTATTTTATGTGCTCTGAGAAAGTATTTATCATTTTATAAAAAAATTTTTATGACGGTCCTTTCATTGTGACAAAAGTATCATCTCCAAATGTGATGACCGAAATGTGAAGTTAGATGGCACTTCCAAAATTGCGCGATTCTGTATAGGATATGAACAAATTAATGACAATTGATTACAAAGGCAGTTCCATAGCTACTCCGTTAGTCTTTTTATACTAAGTTCCTTTGGACGTTAATGAGGTTGACGTCAGGCCGAACTTAAGGGATTTCATTATTAAGCTAATATTTAATGGACATCTGCTAGATAGAATATCATCATCCATTAAGTCATTGTTGAAATTTGGAATCCTAGTCTGTAAAAATACAAAATCATGGCTTACCATTGTTTCGTTTTCTTTGGCGGTTAGATCCGAAAATTTTGATTTAAAATCACAGGAATCTTTAGTGATACTGTGTAAGTTATTTCAAAGATGTTTCAGTATACCACTTTGATATTTAGGTATAGTATATATCGGAGTGTTGTTATGTTATGTTATGTTTTAAAGGTATGTCGGGTTTATGAATATTTGGTAGTCCTTACAAACGTAATGTGCTGCACAATTTGAAATATGAAGTAAAGCATTAGGAGGTATCAGTAAATGACTGACTGACTCGAGTTCTTTAAAAAGTTAGCATGTATCTGGTTTAACGGTAATTATTGAATGATGTTTTAAGTCTATGTTTAAACATGGTTGCTTTGATGAATGTTCAACGGTTTTTTCTTTGTAGTCCGTTTCGCTCATGACCACTTGTATTTTTATTATCCTTGGTAATTATAATCGTCTCATCTTTTCGTAACGAACGTAGAGCTCTCATTTCCTTTGAGATGTTAGGTGGGAGGCGTTTCTGTTTTGTCAAAATGGAAAATGTTTACTTAACGTATAAGACTTTCTGGTGATTGTCCCAGAATCAGTGCAATTTTTCATGTATCAAGTGGTGTTCTGTGTAAATTGAAATTTGATTATTTTCCTGAAAGCGTGGTTTCGTGTTCATTTTTAGTTTTGCATGAAATTTTCAGGTACTATCATTCAGAAATCGCATTATTTAGAAATACCATATGCTATAAATTATTATAATTAATCTACAAACCAAGATATATAAACCGAATGTTCTCCACATTGTCCTGGCCAGTATTCGCTAGCCTCAATGTTTCCATGTATTATTTGAACTTAGTGTGTATCCTTAGTTCTCTTTGATCAATATTATTATTTTGAGCTAGCCAAAAATCGGAACGCTCAGCGCAACTGTTGAAAGGACTAATCTGGTTCAAATACACTAAGGATATATTTCCTTTGTTTAGTCAAGCAACTAATTACCAATTGACATCACGTGTTGAACCTTTCAAAATCTTTGTGATTGTTTACTCTTATCGTTTGTTGCAATGTCAGTCTATCTGATTGTTACGAAAATCCATTTAAACCTATAAGACGCCAATCACATTTTCGTATTCTCAAAGTCAGTCATCTACAACGTAGGACCAGGCACATATATGCGTTGTTCCGAGTTGCCACACCTCATTAGCACAACAAGATGTACACCAAATTCATAAAAGTAGTCACTTCAATGGTAGTAATGTTTGAACGAAAGATTGTGTATAAGAATATAGTACAGGAAGAAAGAATTAGTTTATAGAAAGAAAGGTATAAAATAATTTTAATCCCACAGTTTAAAGGAAGACATAAAGTGTATACGCCAACGCCATTGTGATCGATTCTGAGCCATGTCACTAAGAGTCTCCAAAAATTGCTTTCGATAGTAGCGCAGACTGAACCAAATAATCTGCATCAACCGGCATGGCACAGGCTAGAAGTTAGTGACTTCAAGCACTGATGCACAGCACTGGAACAACATAAGAACTACAACGAATACTTAGATCACACAGAATTAAAATTTTCTATATTAATAATACCAAAATTACCTAAAACGGAATACAAGTATCATCTTTCACACCCGCGATTAGAAATTGCGGCGAGACTATAATTTATGGATGAACCGATCGGGTATAAGATACCAGGTCTCTGATTTTGGCGTGAAATTTATGCTTCTAGTTGGCTAAATAGAGTTCTTGCATTATAGCTGATGTCAGTTCGTGATGAAAACCCTGAATCTAATTCTGAACTTTAACCATCAACTGCAAACCGTAATTTTATTTTCTCACGCTGGTTAATAACCCTCATTTGGTCCTGATTTTTAGATGGACACTCAAGGTCACTTCAGCGTCGCTCAAAGGTCGTCCATAAATTATAGTCTCACCGAAATTGCTAATGTTGGATTTTTGTGACGTTCACTGATTAAACTGTAGAGTTAAGCGTTCACTTCGATACGTTAGTGCAGTTGAACTAAACATTTGAAATTCATTACATTGTCTTTCACGTTGTTGGTTTATAATGCTTTTATTTCGTTCTGTTTTTTTTTCGTCTTAGGTTACTGAAGGATAGTTTAGGAGGGAATGCAGTCACAGTAATGCTGGCAACTGTCAGCCCCTGTCAAACTCATTACGACGAAACATTAAGCACTTTACGGTAGGAGCTATCGTTGTTTGAATTCAGTTTAGATCTGATCTCATTTATGGTTGAATGATGAAAGAATATTTTGTTTGTAGACCACCAACCAACTGACTTGTTGGTTACTGTGACTCGTTTATTGCTGATAATTCTGTTTCGATTTTCTCCTAACCCGTTTGCTCTGAATTGAAGCCTTTGTGAGCGAATTGTCATTTTCATGTTCTTTAACTAACTTGTTACAAAGATACTTAGAAAGTCCTTATTTCTACTACACTGTATATTTTTAGTTATGCCAAAAAGGCGTCATCTATTGTCAATTCAGCGATGGTCAATGAAGATCCGAAAAGTCGATTGATTCGTGGTAATTTATATGTGTACCTTTGTTTTTAATGTATATATATATCAACCAAAGTGCTTGTAACAGAGCTTCCATACCTGCTTCGGTTTGGGCACCCGGGCAGTATCACAGCCCTCACACATATCGAATGAAATTTGTGTGGTGCATATGTATTTGGTGCTTCTTTGTACTAATATCTATGTGTCGAAATAAATAACAGAGCTTCCATGGACTATCTGCTTGTCTGAATCATTTGTGGGAATACTGTTTTAAGTCACAAACAAGTAATCTGGTTGGTATAAAAAATAGAGTCAACTGCATAATACTATTTGTTCATTTAAAAAAAAAGTAATCACCATCCTAGATTTCCTATATTTTTTTATTCATCCGTATATCACAAACAACGTTTATTTAAAGTCCTATTTATTTTGTTTTTGAATTTACAACTTAGTTATCCTTACATTTATTTAAAATAACCCCGGTTAAACGTTTTGTCAACTTTACTCCAAAACGTTACAGTTAAGAGTTAGACATCGAATCCATACCGTATTCTTTTTTCTTTAAGTGCTAATGTACGAGCAGCAGGCATCATAAAAGTGATCCTCTATTACGTAGTAAACTCAATTCGTTAAAGTCGATTTCTGTCTACATCTTATATGAGTTCTTATGATGATCTTAGGCTTCTTGAACCCTGGGGGATAAAAATGTATGTGAACATGCAGTCCCCTGATCGAAAGACAAGTACTTATGGCAGAGCCACTACATATTAGAGCAGTTGAACTGAATTTCATCATTGTTATCGGGATATTAACGCACGTCATAAGGGAAGTGCAACTGCTTAGTTCGTTATGTGATGAGCCACAACAATCAATTTTGCACATCATTATATACAGTTCGCTTAATTTTTAACGACTTTTTATCTTTAAGTGATTCAGTGAGTTAGTGCGAATTCGCAACTTTATTTAGCAAGAACTTCATTCAAGATATTGGTGCGTGTTTTTAGTTTTTCTTTTTCGACTTTTTTTTGATAGAATTAATGTCCGAATTACGTATCTTACGACAAAAAGCATCCTCAATTATGTTTGAATCTGGAACATGTCAAGCTTATGAGGCAGCGAAGCTTAGAGAATTAATTTCCATTCGTGAAGATGGTGTCCTACAGTTGCGAAGGTATCTTTTATTAATTGTCTCTTAAACTCCCCACACATTTCTCAGCTCATTTAATAGCTGATATATATTATAGGCTACTAAATCCCATGAAAATCAATTGTTGAAAAGTTACGTCCGATTTCAAGTGAAAAACAATAAGAACTACTTTCATACAGCGCAACCAAAAACTTTAACTTATGCTTAAAATATGAAAATCGTACATTTAGAGTGTTTTGATCGTGTTTTATAAGAATATTTATTCTTTAAGCATGTACTTTTTTTCTCTAGAGGTAACATCGAGAAACAATATTGTGGAAGTAATAGTACCAATATAACTGACCATCTTGTAATAGTGCGTCTAAACATTACAGATGAAAAAAATACTCCATTCAATAAAAGACCATTAATTTTAATTTGTGAATTATCATTAGAGAATCATCAGTTGTTAAATTATACATGGGTTTCAGTAAATTTCTTGCTTATTATAAAGGTAATTTTCGTCAACTGGGAGGATTGTCTAAAACTATGGGGCGCTAAACTAACTGACTATGGTTTTCACTAGTCCTCCACCTCATATTAATTTGTGATGTACAGTTATCTCCGAAAATAACAACATCTTAACCACCAAGTGTTGTCCGTTAAAATCTATTAGTATAATTTTATTATAGTTGTGCTTTTCAAAATAGATTACGGTTGTTATGTTTAGACCTCACAACTATAACTCAGTTCGTTTAACAGGATTACACTTAGCGATATGAGTTCAAATAGTAAACTCTTATAGACTTTCAGTGTTACGATGGTTAACTCATTCACAATATGCCTTGGTGAGTTATTAAACAAAGATAATTCTCGGAAGTTTATTATTGTTGGGATTTTCTAAGAAAGCTAAATGCCTTAATACTCTGTCAACCAATTAAATTTCTCTCTTTATACATAATCTCGGTAATGTAGTTGAATTTTTTTGTTACTTGTTTTACTAAAAATATAAATACTCGGAATGTCCAAGATTTTGTATATTTGTCGTTAAAGGTCATCAATATACCTGTAATTCGATATACACTTTGATTTCAATCTAAAGTCTGTTAATCAAGTATGGTGACCTATTTCACCATCTTATCGTATGTCGTTCATTCATGAGTTCGGTAATCTGATCTTTTAATCTTCATCTTTTACGAAGGAAGCTAACTGATCGTCGCTCGTCCACTGGGCACCGGTCTATCCGAGCTGTTACATCTGAATTATGTAAATCAACACAAACGTCAGACGTTTATCAAAATGAAGCGGATACCGGGTCAAGAACACTCCGAAGAGCACTTTCTACTCTTAATTGTACAAATACTATGTAAGGTTGCTCATATTTTTTTCATTTCCATTACTTATCCTGTAAATAGTTCATTGAGGAAAACCATGTTATGTTTATGCATAAATGACATGGTTCCGTGATAGTTATTTGTCTAGCTTTAAAACTGCTTAGCATACACCTCACAGTTAATTTATTGTTCGACATAATGATGAAACTTTCTGTTGTTATTTGAAATAATATTATTGTCTAATCGGTTGCTTTTGTTTATTACCAATTATGTATACAATGATTTTTATGTACTTAGATTTGATTGATTCAGTTGGTGAATTCTTTCACTGTATGACAACGTAGTTGATCAATCGTTTTTTCTGAAGTTTGTTTATCCAAGGGTTCAAGGACTGTTATCATTTAATTAAACTGTGTTTATTTTATCAAGACTTGTTGCATTTCCTTAAAAGTAGTATCGAAGCACTTACAAGATAAGCAAAGAAAGTTACGGAATTATAGAATGAAGTAAGGGTCCGTATGTTATTGCTAAGCTACATTATGTTGTCACGGATGTACAGTATTCAGTTCTGCAAAAAATGACAGGTTTGCAAATGTTTGCAGATTCTTTCCTAATAATTCCTATTATTAGCTTTAGATATAGAAAAATAATTTCCTGAGCTCAGTACACTTTTCATGCAGTGTATTCTTAGGAAAAATACATATGTAAAGTGCAAATGTTAATATTATCGTAACATATTCAGTTGATCAAAACTGAGTAGAGACAATTTTTTTTGATGATTTGCGTCTGCACAGTTTTCTGAATTAACAAAAAAGTCAAAAGAAAACGAACAAGGTACTTTATAATGAATTTATAGTTAACAGAACAAAATAATGTTAATGTACGAAAACCGCTAATACCGAATTCGTGCTCTATCACGAACCCAATCACTACCTCATAATGAAATTTGAAGTCAATCAATTCTTTTTTTAATTTCGACTGATTTGTATCCGTGGTTGAAACTTGACACTCAACACCATTTTTCATTCGGTGGTTCTGCGCACAACTACCCTTCCCGGTTATTGGTTTCCAGTTATTTGTTGTTTTTCCACATCATTCACTTTTAGCTCTGATGTTTCAGTTGAAAAGTACAAGTAGTGCTCATGACTTTATTACAAACTCGATCTTTAATACATGTTTGAAAATCCTTTTGGTTTTAAATAGGTAGCGTATTAGATGAAGGGATCAAATGAATTGACACGACAATAAGAAACAAATTATATTGAATAACGTGAAAGAACAATGAATACTATTTCTCCTCAAAATATCTTGTGTTTCATTGCATCATGGAGATATTAGTATAAAGCACTGTTTTACTGCCAAAATACAACTGAAGACTTATTTCTTACCAACCTAGCTGCAATAAAGATATAGTCAAGTGATTGATTAAACATAATAAAGTATCCGATAAGAATATTTAGGTTTAGTCTGATTTAAATTTTGTTCAAATTTATGATTTTTCATCAATAGTCCATTACGTTTTCATGGGGATAAAGTGAACTTCGAAGACATAGAAAAACCGTACGTACAAACTGCCTTACCTAGTTCTTCTGAAGTTTCTACTTCTGTTGGCCATTCTTTGCTGTGTAGTCCTATGACTCATTGCCAACTTGTTGACCAGATTGCCAATTTGAATTGTACATTACAATCTGTACAAGAGTCGGTAGGTTATTAAAAAATCTGTTTACTGCATCATTTCGATTATTTTACACCTGCATGTTTGCCAGTTAAGTATCTTAAACACTTTCTTGTGTAAAAGTGATTTTTGTCCCGTTTTAATGTTAGTATAATGTAAATTATGTTTTTAGATACACGGTTATTCATGTTTATATCTCCGAAATGCTTGCTTGATTGTTCAAGCTTTTGAGTAAATGATAACCTTATGTGATATTTATAAGTATTTGAATTATAGTATGAACTAGGAATCCCAGAAATAACGTAATCGGATCAAGAACTACTAGATAACCACAAACGAATGTACTGTATTTAGAATTCGAAATCAAGCATTCAACAAGTACAAAGTTATCATTAGTTCATTCAAACACCACACCCTAATCTAAAGAAAATCGGTAGGGAACGTTTCGTGGAAGTCAGTTTTCAAAAAGTTATTCAAGGTATTGATAGTCCCCAATAATACTACATGTGTTTTACTAATTCTTTATTTTTTAAACAACACTATGTAAAGCCATCAAATAAGCTTATTTCAGAAAGGACCGTAGATGTCCAGAAAAAATTTTCAACCTTCGATAGGCTTTTAGCTACAGTCAAACTACTTGATGCATGATTATAAGATCTCTTGACTTTAAGCCAATATTGATTTTGGTGAGTCGTTTTATGGACTAGTTACGCTAATTGGCGGTTGTTAGAACTACTCGTTCTCATTATTTCTTTTAGTTTCGTTACAATTTTTCTGTAGATATAAACTTCCATCGATAGACATTCTCACTTATTTCTGATGGAGATATTTACAGTTAAGACGTGGGGATGTTTGGCATACGTTCTCTTTGAAAGTATCTCTTCAGGAGTGGTTCGCATCATTTTGTAGTCTATTTATAGGAAGTCAAATAGTTGTATGTTTTGCTAGATTAGGTAAAGAGGCATGTTTGGCTTCTGTCAACTGATATTTGCTACTTAAGATGTCCTCTTTATTAATTAGTGGGCAAGTGTATAGTGCTACATCAGTCTCTGTTATTTTATGTCTATGAAACTTGGACTTTCATAGTTAGAAACTTGCATAGGTTGCTAGTGTTCGATCGTAGATGTTTTCGAAACATAGCTTGGATTTGCTAAAACAACAAAATTAGTTATGTTGAAGATAGGCATGGAACATGAAAAAGGTCGCTTACAGTATCGCGGTAGTTGATATATATCTCTGGGAAATACAGTTCTGTATCTGACAAGTTAATTAAAACGTTTTCAAAATTCGAATTTTAGACTAAGAAATCCGAAAAATTGAAAGTTGAAGTAAGTTGTGCCATTTAAACGCTCCTTGTTTTAACTTAATTCCCCTTTTAATGAAAGATCCAGAACTATTTGCACTATTACTTAGCCTTTCTTAGTTGTATTGTATGATTTATTGTGATGTATTTTCTCCATCATTTTACACGCCGGATTGTATTTTTGTGGCCATCATTGATTGGCTAGTTTGTCACATTACTGACTGAATATATCTGAAATTTATCGTTTGCTTGTTTTTAACGGTATCTCAGTAGGAACGTGATTGTAATGAATTACTAAGGTTCAGTGCGTCACAATAATTTTTTCAACATAAAGCGTCCATGCGCTGCAATTGAAGGTAATCTTAGAATATAACCTCATCCTACTAAATTTCGCCAGTGTATGTCGAGTTTTTTACTATTAATTCAGCCCTTTCTAAATTTAGGAACTCAATCAAAAGGTCATCATATTGCAAGAAAAGTTACTAGCGCAAACTCGGTTACTTGATAATTTCAGACAGGTGAGTAATATTTACATAAGTATACTTGTTCTTTGTAATTTAATGCCTCGTTATAAATTTTTTTTCGACAGTGTACGGAGTATCCTTAATGATGCTTATATAGTTTCAAGTGCATTTGCTTGGCACTGCGAAGTTGGGGAGTGTTAGCTCTTCCTCTCGAAATGCTTTCACATGACCACGCGTATACAGTCACTACCAGGAAAGTCCTATTCACTGCCTTCTCTCGGCACTACTGTTGATCACGAAAAGGCGAATGTCTGGCACTTTAACCGGGTTGGTGGGTGTGGATGACCCACCTGTGGGGGGTTTAAAACGCTGATTCTGTCCAAACCATATATATCTTGTAAATAGGCATCGTTCACCAAAGGAAATTATTAGATAACTTCAACAAGCGTACTGCTCTTCTGCTCGAAATCACAGTATGTCAATTTACAGACTGACTTTAATTTGTAGTCGGTATTCAAAATATTTAATGGGACAGATTTTCTCCTCATCGCAACTGATCGTTGCTCTCGTTATTGCAGATACTTTATAAACCTGATGGTTTTCATTGAATCCGGCCACTTTATTTCTTAATTCCCACAGGAGGAATAGAAACTACGGAAACACAATCAGGTTGTTTAGCGAACGTTTTTGGTGACAAGCGTCATTACATAAAACCCGTTAGTCGTTTTAAACATTTTTGAGTAGAGATGTTTAGTCCGTGAATTTGTGTACGTTTTTTCCGTTGTACTAAAAATTTAATGCGCGCAAAACGTCCACCTGGTCGTCTATTGGCGTTTTGTGTGACCAAACACTATTAAAAGCTACATATTTATGCGGTACGAAATTGCAGCACTCTTCTCTTATCAATCAATACATGTAGACTGTTATACACTTTTTTATTTTAGGCCTTTGACAAGTTGAACCGAGAATACCAAGCTATATTGCAATTGTTTCCTCATTTGTTGAAGAAAGTTGCACACATGACCTTACCCGACAATGAACTCGGCGATAAAACAAGTCATTTGGTAAGTTCGCATTGGAATTCTTTAGGTGGTTATTATCTTTGAGTTCTCATCGAGTTGTTTGTCGGTTCTATAAAATTTGTGAGATAAGCTTTATCTAGTAACAGCTTCATATGTTGTGTAAATTTTTGTTTTTTCTTCAGAATACGGAGCTACGTTCGATCTTTCCCTTGACGGATACTTCAGTTAACCAACTTAGACATACCGTAAGTCATGCTTCGTTCATCCGCATAAAATTGATGTAGATGTAATCGTTTTCCATAACCTTAACATAATTTAGAAACACAATGACTGCAGACGTAACTCAGATAACGGATGTGAATATGGTGATGTGATATAAACAATACACAGTAGTTCTTGGCATAAATGTTATAAATTAGATGAAAACTATCTGAGCTGTGTATCAGGTTGACCACTAATTAACATCTCAAAAACTCAAGTCGAATTAGGGAAATCAAATAGGAGCATATTACAAACACAGAGAAATTAAAAGACCCAAAAGCTTACAACTTATTATGTTTAAATTATGATTATTATTTGAACACATGAATATTGGTACAAGAGAGCGCCAATATATATGCGCCACACAAAACAATGAGAATTCGAAGAGAAATAGAAAAAAATCTAAGGAGCGCAAAAAAGAGAACAATAACGAAGAGATTGGTGTAAGGTAGTGTGGTAGTAATGAGGGAACGGAAAGGTGCAGTCGGAAAAATTTTTTCAGGTAAGGGAGACAACCACTTTTTATGGAGAAAGTAATCAAAGAAGCTCTGATATCAAAACAGTGATTTTTGATGTGCAATAAGTGCGGAGATGTCCCAGTATTTGGCGGAGTGCAGAGATGAGTCAATAGATCCAAGTCCTGAGCAGAAAACTTTCTTATTTATTTATTTGAACAGATAAATATTGGTACAACAGGGCTCCAGATACATATATGCCACTCAATAATAATGAGAAAGGGAAGAGATAAAAAAAATGTAAGGTGAGTGCAAAAAGAAAAAAAGAACAATAACCATCACAAATTAGTGTATGGTATTGAAATAATAATAATGGGAGATACAGAAAGGTACAATCGAAAAGAATCCTTTTAGTTTAAAAAGTTACGGTCACTTTTTATGAAGTAAAGTAAAGTTAGCAGGATTGCCACTGGTGTCTATTCTGAGCAATACCTGGTAATCTCTCTAGCCACTGTGTTGCACCATCTCTAGGACCCCAACCAGGGAGTCGTAAAGGACCAACACAAGCCAGTCCTTTGCAGCTTTCTTTCATGCCACGACACCATGTCATGCACTGACCACCTCTCCGCTTTTTCCAACCAGTCCCAGAGTCGGCAAATAGTGCACGACGTGGAATTCTCTAGGACGACATTCGTAGAACATGTCCAAGCCACCGAGGTCGGCATTTCAAGATGGTGACACCAATTGAATTATCATCTCTGTGCCCGAACACACGATGCCGAACCTCTGCATTACTGACATGGTGTTGCCACTGTATGTCAGCAATCCTTCGGCGACAAAGATGCTCAAGTAAGGCAAGATTGGCGCAGACCAAGGCATGGTCAGAGTCCAGATAGGTACTCCAAAAGGAGCGGCAGTCTTGTACACAAACACGCCAGCGGTAGCTCATCGCGATGTGATCAATCTGAGTCCAGGCTTGAGATGCAGAGGGAAGACGCCAGGTGGCACATCGGCGATGACTGTGCCGAAAGTTAGTGCTAGCCAGAAACAGGTTGCAGTCTGTGCAAAGTTGCAGTAGACGGTCCCCGTTACCTGTCCTGCGACTAACAAGTCCCCATCGACCACTTAAACGACCCTCTTCTATGCCTAGACGCCCGACCTGAGCATTTAAGTCCCCGGCTAGTACTACAATATCTGTCGAACGCACTTTCTGGAGAAGAACAAATAACTGGTGGTAAAACTCATCCTTGATTGCATCCGGGCTGCAATCTGTCGGAGCATAGGCGGAGATGACGAAGAGACATCGTTTCTCACGCCGATTTCTTCTCACTTTGATGGAACTCTCTAATCTAACAGCACATAACCGACTGTTAATGGGGATCCAATCGATTAGTGCTGCCCCAGCTCTAGCGCTTAGTGCGACACCAACGCCAGCAAGACCAGACGAAGATGCCACAGGGTCCCCGGATAAGCGCACGTAAAACAAGCTTTTCGAAGCGACAGATGGAGATCGAATTTGTAGTACTTCGCCAGAGTCTTGAATACGGGTCTCGGATAGACAGTATACATCGATATGAAAACTTTCCAAAGACATAGCCAGCCCTATCTGTTGACCAACCTGCATAAGTGTGCGAACGTTGAAGGCAGCCAGTTTGAATGGCGCACGTGGTTTCAGAAAAACTGCTTCAGTATTCGTATTCGGTGGTAACATACAATTTTCAACCGGACAGTGACTCGAGAACGTTTAGATACAGTCGAATTTCCACCAAAGGCGAGCCGCTGTATAAGTATAAAAGAGGGTGAATAATGTGGAAAATAATAATAATGACAATAATAGTAATGATAATAATTTGAATCAATTGATTGTTTTTCGAAGCGAGGAAAGTAGTTTCCATAGACATAGAGTTGATCATTTGTGTGTGGGCTGTGATACTGCCCGGGTGCCCAAACCGAAGCAGGTGGTTTTCTTAGGGGGCCACTCCCCGAGCCTTTGACCTAAAGGTCTAACCCACAAGGCAGGGGAGCATCGTAAGGAGATGCAATCCCATGGTAGCCGGTGACCAACAATTGGCCCATACGCCATTTGTTCCCTCAGGATACTGGAGCTCATGCGCACCATTGGTTTGTGATCCGGTTAAAGCGCCGGACATTCGCTCTTCGTCCTCTCATTTTCGTAAACAACACCCCCGCCACGAGGTGATGAGCAGGACTTCCCTGGCAGAGGCTGTATACGCGCGGCCGTGTGAGAGTTTCGCAAGGGAGAGCAGACTTTCCCCACTCTCGGCCGTACCGGGGCATTCGGGGGCTTTTTTTAAATAGGCATAATGATAACATTTTTTCAATAGACACTATTCCCATAGACAAATTGCTTTGGCTGTAAAGGATCATCTGTTATCAGCTATTTCGTGTAGGCTTCCGAAATATCCCCATATTTCCTAACCATGTTCTGTAAGTCTACCAATCCATATGCGACATAATCTAACATCCATTTTTATTATTTCAGGTTTCTACCTATGTACCAGGAAAACCCGGATGTGACGCATCTTAACTTAGATGAAGCTACATGTCTGCAGATTGTCAAAGTTCATGTACATAAAATGTTTCTTGTAAATATATTATCCTTGCATATTATTCTAAGTATTTCTTTATTCAGTAATTTTTACAGAGCTCTTATCACGTTTGCTTATAGTATCTATCCTTTACTACCATGCATGAGACTTTCGAATCATTCTCTCGTTCAGCTCCCTATTTCTGAAAGATCGGAGGACCGGATGGTTAGAAATATCACAATTTGAGAGAATAATAAATGTATATTTTTGAACATGAAATCATATGAAAATTGAAAAGGATTATACAATCTGGTTTTTCTTCAGCGATGCCGAGGATCTGTAAAAGAAAACAGCAAAACTGATTAAAAAAGCTGTGTACACAAAATCATTGCGTTCACATAAATGTCAAAATTCTATGTCGTCTATTCAAATAGGGTACATTCCACATGATTCTCATAAACCGATGCGATTTGAAGGAACCTTAACCTAAAAATAGTGCTCTTTGAAACTAGCAGAGTTACTCGAATAAATCTTCAACTTCATACTGGCGTTGATGTTTAATAATCCTAGTAGAAGTATGAACTCGGCTATTAATTTAGTTGACTACCTGTGTACGCTGCACGCTTTCCGACTTAGAATTACTGGAGACAATAGAATACTACAGCTTGGGGACACCATAAAGAACGAACATTCCAAGAAAACACTGAACCAGTTTAGTCTTTATGAATCCATCTATTTAGCAGAAGTCTTGTTCAGAATTTGTGTTTGCTTTACTTCCAGACAGTCCTAAAGTTAAGAAAACAGCATACATTTTGGTAAATGTTGATCAAGGACGGAAATGAAAAGTAATCTAATGTATTCTTCAAGTTTATAATCCCACTAGGGTAAAATCCAGGGAATTTGTGACGATATATCTTTAAATTTAACCACAAACATACTCAGACCTCAACGTCATTTAAAGCCTTTTCTATCTGGAGAAGTGGTGCCGTCAAAGTTCATACCTAAAAAGGGAAGAAAGAGGGTTTTCAGAAGACTGGAATGTCTATTAATCGGTCGATTGTTTCATCTAGATTGTTATGGTGCAAGACAATGATATGACAATGCATCAAACCAAAACTTTTGCAGAACTAGAAGCTGGACATAACCATCATTCGAAAAATATTTATATGCCAAAAACTATCAGATTTTAGCTGCAGTCTTATGCTACTTTATCTACCTTGAGAATCGACTTACCTTCGTGAATTGCTTCTATGTGTCGTTTTAGGCTTGATTTCTGAGAGAAATTTCGCTGGCATACTTCACATCCGAATGGTTTGAGACCTATATAGAAAGGTTACCTGAAGTAGAAAACACTAGCCAACCTTTGTGAACAGCGTCGATGTGTTTATGGAGGTCAGAGTTTCGAGTGAATCCTTTATAACAATAAGTGCATTCAAACGGTTTTACACCTAAAAGATAATCAAAAACCCTAACAGGTGAGTAGGTATTGAGGGAAAACAAGGGTAAAAACGCATTACAGACAAAAAGTGTTTACAACAACAGAATCTGACCTTTGTGGACTGCTTTGATATGTGTGTTCAAATTACAGTGTTTAGTAAATACTTTGTTGCAAAATGCACAATTCAGAACTCGGAAATCTGTTGCAATGAATAGAAAGAGAAAAGATAGACACAGTTAGGAGTAACACAATACACCGAAGTACAGTAACTGAGAAAATATAATAACTTTATTTTTAAGAGGAATTTTTTAGTTGGTTAACATTGTTGAAAATCATCGAATAAGTATATAATGTCAATAGATTATCAACCCCAACTGTTTGTCACGGCTATCCTTTTTCTGCATTTTTATCTAACTTATTTACAAATATCCATCTAAACTTTTCAGGCATTGATCTACCAGAATTACCTTGTTGATTTGGAATATGCAGGTGATATAGTCCTATTTGACGAAGACGCCTGTCTTTTGGTCACATTGAGGAACAATACTAGCACGTTAGGTTCACATATGTGATGCTATAATATTGTGAAATGAAGAGCGATAGCGTTTCACAATAAATAAATGAAACAAGGATAGCATGTGATAGATATAGTTCGGTAAAAAGTACAGCCAGTAAGACTTGGTTATGGTGGTTCAGCTGACTAAACTGGGATTACAATCAGTTTATATGAGTTATATCTGACAACGACCAACGCCACCGAATTGCACAATCCCTAGGACTGCAACCTAGGAGTTTTGATCGATCAACAGATCCCTATCCCGAGCAGGAATCTTTTATATTAAGGGACCATATCATCAAGCGACCATCTCGGTGCTAAATAATAATGTGCTGCCGGTTTTCCTAAGATAGTGACATCATTTTTCGTCCATCACTGTGGCCGAATATTCATTGCAGAACCTCAGAATCAGTAATACGTTGCCACCTGACGATAACAAACACTTGGAGGTAATGATCACTGAACAAAAAGCAGCTGAAGATGCCAGGAAGACTCCCGACTAATCAACTGTAAACTTGATCCTTACACAGAGGGAGGCAAGCATCACAACGGTGCCAAATATTTTCGATATTAACATACGCTGTTTTGTCTTCCACTACGCGTGGATTGATTTCACCTGTCATGTTATTTTATCACCCACTGCTTAAACAAACGAAATTTTCGACTACTAACAGATTTAAAGGAAATTGAGTGGAGCCACATGCTCCAGTCAGTTTTTCAGAAGTAGTTCAAATTCAGCAGGTTCAGGAAACATGATATACGTATTAAGAATATATGCTAACTGATTAGATGCGATTGGGATAGTTTGTGAGACTGTTATACGCGTACTCAATCTTGAAAAGTCCATATCCAGGTTAAGTGACAGACCCTACTACCCCTACAACGCATTTCTCCTGGAACTATTCCTTTGATCTCATCAGTATGAAAGTTGCAGAGGAACAACGCTTAACTTTATTGTAGGGATGGAATAACAGAAAGAGGTGGTTGAACAATCTCACTCCGTTCGGCGCGCTTGTGTATAAAGCCATCAAGATGTCAATAAACTTTCCAAGACACCCTCCTTCAACAAACAATCTGAGAGCAGTTTTTCCTAACGAATCAAAGAAGCTCTGATATCAAAACAGTGATTTTTGATGTGCAATAAGTGTGGAGATGTCCCAGTATTTGGCGGAGTGCAGAGATGAGTCAATAGATCCAAGTCCTGAGCAGAAAACTTTCTTATTTATTTATTTGAACAGATAAATATTGGTACAACAGGGCTCCAGATACATATATGCCACTCAATAATAATGAGAAAGGGAAGAGATAAAAAAAAATGTAAGGTGAGTGCAAAAAGAAAAAAAGAACAATAACCATCACAAATTAGTGTATGGTATTGAAATAATAATAATGGGAGATACAGAAAGGTACAATCGAAAAGAATCCTTTTAGTTTAAAAAGTTACGGTCACTTTTTATGAAGTAAAGTAAAGTTAGCAGGATTGCCACTGGTGTCTATTCTGAGCAATACCTGGTAATCTCTCTAGCCACTGTGTTGCACCATCTCTAGGACCCCAACCATAGAGTTGTGAATGACCAACAGAAGCCAGCCCTTTGCAGCTTTCTTTCATACCACGACACCATGTCATACACTGACCACCTCTCCGCTTTTCCCAACCAGTCTCAGTGTCAGCAAATAATGCACGACGTGGAATTCTCTAGGACGACATTCGTAGAACATGTCCAAGCCACCGAAGTCGATGTTTCAAGATGATGACACCAAGTGAATTATCATCTCTGTGCCCGAACACACGATGCCGAACCTCTGCATTACTGACATGGTGTTGCCACTGTATGTCAGCAATTCTTCAGGGACAACGATGATCAAACACAGAGAGCCGACTAGTATTTTCAACTCGGGGAGGTCAGGTTTCACAAGCATAGAGCAAAACCGCTCTAACCGACGCGTTGTAGATCTGACCTTTTACAGCCAGACTAACATCACAAAGGCGCCAAAGATGGCCCAGATTGGCATAAGCCTCTTTGGCTTTCACTATATGTGAATTGATCCGAAAACACACGTCACTACTGGCATTTATGCAGCTACCCGGATACACGAACCTCTCGACTACTTCTATGCTCATTATCCTGGGTGAATTCAGGATCGTGTCCTGCCAATCTTGTAGAAGTACTTTGCACTTCGAAGGTGCAAAGCACATACCTACGGATATTGATTGCCAACTGATTAAGTGTGGATTGCATGGCTTGGGCATTATCGCACAGTAAGACAATATCATCCGCATACTCAAGGTCGAGAAGTCTTTCTCCAGCAACGGACCCACACAGCCATTACTTACATCCATCAGAGCTGTTTCCAGAATGTCATGGACGGCAAAGTTGAAGAGGAATGGTGAGATTGGGCAACCCTGTCTAACCCCACTGCTCGAGTGGAACAGAGGAGAGAGGTGGTTGTAGATAGGTCTTTTAGGATGTTAATAGACTTCTCAGACACACCCTTCTTCCATAGACCATCCCAGAGAGCAGTCCTGTCCACCGAATCGAAGGCAGCCCTAGCAAAAAGCTTTCCACTCATCACGAATCAGCCCTTTACGAGAAGCTAAATATTTCTAAGCACGAAGTTTTGCAAGGCTGCAGAGGGCCCTTCTCGCCGTCTTGTTAATTTAGCTACTTTACACCTACAAATTTCGGCGGGTTGCCAACTAGTCTTTTACCTAGCATGATTAAATTTTTGGCTGTGACTCTATGTTCAATTACTTCGCATCTGGTTGCTGTCAGAAGCTGTTCCAATTCACGTAAGGCAACTTTAAGAGCTGATGGCCCACAAATTATAAACCCATGAAGATATCTTGAAAACTGGGTGGAGCACTTCAAGGAATAGTCCATCTGATTGTTACTCCAACAACGATCAAACTGTCTTGTGTTTGCTGGCCAGTGATTACCAACACACCAGACAACGTTGAAATTGGTAAGAATGTGTGAAGCTTTGGTGAATCTTTTACTAATTAC